AGCTTACGGCAAATGAGCTTGCATGATGATGGAGAGTTAGGTTGGGGTACAGAGGCCTAGGAAATGCTGCTAAAGTTTGGTCAGAGGAGCTGACCTTGAAGATCTTGCCTAGGGAACCAGCAGTTAGTAATGGCTATGTTGCTGGACTCCCACACAGTTGACCGCGGTTCGCGTCCTGGACCCAGTGGCTTAAAACTCACGCCAGGCACATGTGCATGCGTGCCCAAGATCCCGAGAGGAGAATGGAGAAGGGATTGCAGCATGACCATCCCCCCTGGGGCGGGATTTCTCTCTTTCTGTCTCTCTGTCTCTCTGTCTGTCTGGCGAGCGCACGTGCCCTATAGCAAAAACCTCTCCAAAAAAAAAAAAAAGATCTTGCCTAGAAGCATAGAAGTAGGTGGTTCTAAACACTTGCCTGGGAGCTGCTACAATTCTCTAGGCCCTTTTGTAGAACTCCCACAGAGATCCTAGTCTACAGAGGTTTTCTAGACTTGCTGGGGAGCTTCTTGTGACTCACTTACCTGCTTGCATCGTCTGCGTCAAGTCTGAGAATAATTTCTTGAGCTTCTTTCTCCTTTCCTAGTCGCCTACAAATGCCTCTCTCTGGGAAGCTCTGACCCAGATCAGATGAAGGAGATTCTGAGAATTGTTCTAGCCTTAGGAGGAAGTATTAAGCAATCTGTCACAGTCAGCTACATATATCTTGGACATTTTATGAACGCTTTGCCATCGTTATCTTGTTTAATCTCCATGGTAACACTGTGCTGTAGGTACTATTATTGTTCACATTCAGCAGATGCAGTATTGAATGTTCAAGTGATTAAGTGCCTTGCCCAATCCATCTGGCCCAGCTACAGTGGCACAGACTGTAGGGCAGTGCCATGTGATACTGGAGCCACAAGGAGGGCACTGGTTTGGACCCCAGTTTGACTCGACACTGCTTGGTGTGCCTATGTGTACTAGTTATCTTGGCTAGCTAGAAGGCTGGGGAATATTGCATTGTGGTGAGACCCCGTCAGGGGTGCCTTTCTCTTTCTCAAGAAAGAAATAAAATAAAACTTTTAAAAAAGTGTTTATCCAATTTAAAAACCTAAGCTTCTAATCACTGCATCTTCTACCATTACTGTTATTGATATTAGTAAGTGTGAATTAAATCTTTGTTGGTGATAACTGCTAATATATTTTGTTTGGAACTTGAATGCTCTACTTATAACTAGCCTGGGAGTGTGAACAGGATTACATTAAAATTAATGCTTGTATTTTATCAAGACTCCCCAAGTCTTTAGCCTAAAATATCCACCAATGTTTTATTCCAGGGCAGGAGTGCTATTACCACTTACATTGTTTTTTCAATTTATGAGTGCTCACAGCCAAAACCTCCCAGGGATTTACAACTCTTGCATTCATGGTAAGGATCATACATGAGCCTTCTGCCCCTCCCAGGACCTACGGTTCCTTAATGGCATTCAACCTTTGTATGTGAGACGGGTTTACTGCTATAGAATACTTTTTTCCTCTTGGTGAATTATCTGTGAAACCCTCTGTAATTAGATTTCTATGTCCAACTTGACATTCTTGTTGCACATCTTTTTTACCTCTTCAAACCTGTCAGCCCCTCAGTTCTATCTTTATGTCTCTAAATCTTAATGGTGGAAAGAAAACCTTTTTTTAAAAAAAAATTTTATTGCCATTATCATCATTGCAAAACTAAGGATTTAAAGTTTTATGTCTGGGAAAGGGGTTTCTGTGAACTTCAAGTCCTCAGATCATTCAGGTCCTAATGCCATTGGATAGATACATGGATTAAGTGAGAGGCAGGATAATTCCTCTTGTAAATACAGTTTTCTGAAATTGGATACTTGCCCAACCAAGAAATATAGCCTATGGCAAGCATTAACTATATATTTTCATTTTGTTTGTGACTGAATTTGTCCTTTGTCTTTAATCTCATATATAATGGAATATAGACAATCTGAAACTAGCTATTATACTAATCATATTTGAAAAATGTAACAGGAATTACTTGGTTTATTATGACTGGATGATCCATCTTCTAAAGAGAATATAAGATCATCTAGTTTATTTGAAGAAAAAAATGCCCAGAAACTTTCCATCTAATTTAAAAAGTGAAATTTAAAAAAAGAAGAGAAAAAGCACATGAGAGTTTCTGAGGTTTTAAGATAGAAATTGCTCTGGCTTTAAAGCTCTGTTATCTGACCTAATTCTGCTCTATCTGAGTACCCAGACCTTCTGTGACAAGAGTAATCTAGTTGGTCCTTCTATTTATTATCCTTTCCATTTTCTAGTAGCCTTTGTAACGTGCAGTGAGTTCAAATAAGATATAATACATCTGTTCTATAGAAGCAAAATCTGAAACAGTTTAAATTGCATTCCACTGATGTATAATTGAAGTTTAATTGAGCCTCACATTGCTTTTCATTTACCATTACAAACGTACAGGAAAGGCCTCTTTAGTCTTAGCTACAAAAGGCATATTTTTACATAGTATAAATAAGATCTGCTTGCCTACCTGCTTTTCAGAATATAAAAAAGTATCACATTTGTCTGATAAATATCTTCTATGGCAGTGTATTTATAGTAGAAATCCTTTGCTCTTTTTAGTCCTAACTGTTCAATCTGCACATTTTTTAGATACTCTGAATTTTTTATTCATGTTTCTAAGACCAACTTGGAATCTTTTCATCTATAAAATCCATTTAATCTCTACTCAGATGAATCTGTGTGTTCTAGACTGTTATAAATGCAAAGGAATATTCTTGAAATAATTACGACAGCAATTTCTTACATGTGAGGGCAGAAAATTATAGTTTGCCATGCCAGAAAATCTATATATACTTTAATTGTTGTCCTTTGGTATAATAAATGACTAATTTTTAAACTTTTAATTACTAATATCTACCTGTGGTCAATAAACCAAGTACCCATTCATTCACTCAATAGGTATTTATCAGTAACCACTATAAGCTAAGTAGAATTCTATATCTGAGGGAGAAAGTAGAGATCAAACCATGCATGTCCTTGCTCTTAGTTCCTTAGTAGGAGAGACGGAGAGACAGGCAATAAGCAGGTGAGAAAATATTAAATGAAGAGATTCTAGAGAGTACTAAATACTGAGAAGAAAACAAATAATGAACACTTATGAGAATTGAGAGAGGGTAAACCTCTCTAAGAAGGTATCATGAGAGACTGAATGATGTCAAGCAAGCTATCTGACCATCTATGAGAAGAGCATTCAACGTAGAGGGAGTAGGCCACCAGTGGAAAAATAAGACAATGGGATGGGAATTTCTGGTAGTCCTTCTATTGCCACTCTTACTATCTGATTTTCAGGTTTACACACTAGAACCACTGCTTCTCACAGAATATGAACTTTAATGGACAATGACAGACTTTAATTCCAGGATAAAACCAACAAGATAAAATGTGACATTATTAATACAAAATGGTGCATGTAAATTTACAAACCCAATGATATCGATGTGGCTTGACAACTGTTCATATTCTAACCATCTGGAGATTCTAATTGACTACAAGTTGGAGATTGCTCTTGGCTGCTTTTGACTAGAAAAACCAATCTGTACATATTTCCCTTGGGCAGGTTTCTACTTAATTTAGGGTATCATTAGAGCTGCTCAAAAATGAAACAGTCTTAGGCTGGCCTGGTGGCTTAGTGGTTAAGGGATCCAGATCCTATCTGGCCCACCACGTGGTTCAAATCTTGGCCCTAGTAACTTGAAAAACACGCTGGGCACATATGAATGGGTGCCTCAAATTCTGACAGTTTGAAGAATGGAGTAGAAAGGATTGTGGCATGAATATGCCTCACGGGGGAGGGCTTTCTACCTCTTCCTTTCTCTGTCTCTCTGGTAATACATAGACCCTCTGGCAAAACAAACAAAAACAGTCTTCTTTGTAGATGGAAAACTCTGCATTGCATAACTCTTTTTTTTTTTTAAGAAAATAAGAATAAATAAATACTCTACAGGACCTTTTGCAAAAGTAAACTATTATATTATTTGGAGACCAGGTTTTTTTGTTTTGTTTTGTTCTAAGGTTTTTGCCATAAAGTGTATGTACTCACAAGAGAAAGAGAAAAAGAGAGAGACAGTGAGAGGGAAAATGAGTGGGGATGGCCATGCCACAGTCTGTTCTCCTCCATTCTCTTCTTATGATTTTGGGCATGTGCACATATGCATGTGGTGTGATTTTCAGGCCACCAGGTCTAGGACTCAAACTTTGGTCAGCTATGTGGGATTCCAGCACCTTAACCACCACACCACCTGCTGGCCTCAATTTGAAGACTAGTTTTAAGACACTTTATGGATTTTGTGAGTCTGTGACTTTTTTTTTCAATACCCCCATTTTTTTTTTTGATTTTGGAATATTTGTATATGATTAGCAAGGAAAAGTGATGTTGGTATATCAATCATATGGTGAAGTTTAGCAAACGATTAGTGTGTAATGAAATCCTCTAAATAGTTATCTGAAGTGTAAAAATTTTAGACCATAATTTATAAAATAGAGTACCAGCAGATGGTATAATGGTTACATCATTGGACTCCCACATGGCCAACTACAGTTCGAGCCATTGATGAGAAGGGATTGCGGCATAGCTATCTCCTTTGGGGAGGGAGGAGAGCCCATGTGCCCTATATCAAAGATATCTCTTAAAAAAAAAAAAGAATTTAGATTCAACTTCTTTTATGTTTTTGGCTGAGCATAATAATAAAAATCAATATATTTTGGTTTTGCTATGCATTAATTGTGTAGCATCAGCAATTTACCTCTCTGCACTTTAGTTTCCTCAAGATGAGGACAATAACTTGTCACTGCCTGAAAAGATTGTTATGAAGATTAAATTAGTTGCTACAAATAAATAAGTTAAAGCAGCCCCTGATAGTAGTAAATGCTAAGGAAGTGTTTGCTGCTATTGTTGCTGAGATTATTAGATGTAAATGTGTGCTCTCTTCTGCCTTCAGGAGTTAATGACCAAGTTAATAACTGAGAGGCCTGACCAGCCAATCCCATTTCTCATCGACCATCTTCAGTCTAAACAAGGAAACCGTGGGCAACTTCAAAGAACTTTGTCTGGATCTGCAGCTCTCTGGGCAGAAAGTGAAACATCAGGTAAATTTTAAAACATATTTTTGTCATGGATTTTGAATACAACTAAAAAAAAATTTACAAAAGCCTTTCTGATTATAAGATAAATCTTGAAGGACAACTACCTAGAGTTTTCATGTATTCATTTATGGCTTTACCCAGATACTAAAATTTGTCGTAAAATATTCATGAATTTAATATATTGTAATATATTATGCTTCAAAATACAAAATCAGTGTATTCTATTTTAAAAGAACGAAGACTCAGATCATGAAAAGATTTCATTCTGTATGAATTCAAACTAATTATCCTAACATTATTTCTTTTGTGAATAATTTAAATTAAAAGCTTATAGCTTATCTGTGTAGAAAGATAAGAAATAGATTTCTACAAAGTTACTTTTCTCACCCAAAGTGATGATTATTCTGTTTCTCTTGGCCCCAATTTTGTCATGAGTAGTAAGTTCAACCTTAGGAACATTCACTCATTTTGAACATCAGGAAATCAACCTCCCAAGTCTCTAATGGCCTCTTCCGAGAAAACACTGCTGAGATCATTGGATAGACTTGTGTTTGATCTTTGATTATAATATGTGTGGCCCACAATTTTTCTTATGTACATGCTGGTCTGTTGGTTTGACATTTGCTTTAAGACACAAATCCGCTCATGCCTGTTGCTTGAGTAGCCAACTCCTTGCCTGATTGCCATGGGAATCTGACAGACTAGATTCAAAATGTTTTCTTAGATGACACCATCACCTCTTAGTGCTCTATGGGATCCTGTGAAAAGATGTTGGTCTTCTTTGACTTTATTTTCATATAAGGGGGTCTTTGAAAAGTTCATGAAATATGCATGTTGTGAAAAAGCTATGCATGGATTTCAAAATTTCCTTCACTAAAATAAACTTGTACTTAATTTCCTTTTTCTTTTCTTTTTCTTTCTGTCTTTTTAAAGTTTTTCCATAGAGCATGTGTGCTTGCTGGAGAGAAACTGAGAAAGACAGTGAGGGAAAATGAGAAGTCATCCCCCGGGGGATGACCACACTGCAGTCCCTTCTGCATTCTCCTCCTGGAATTTTGGGCACTCACACATGCACGTACATGTGCCTGGTGTGGTTTTTCAAGTGGCTGGGTCCAGGACATGAGCCATGGTTGGCCATGTGGGAGTCCAGTGCCATAACCACTACACCACCTGCTGGCCCCCTTAATTTTATTTTGCTATGAACTTTTTGAAGTTCCCTCATGTTAGTGCTTCCATTAAGATCATGACTCAAAGCCTAGAGAAACTAGTGTATCCCCTGAAAAATGTAGACTTCTCTTCTAACAAAATAAAAGTTATCTGCATCATACAAGAGACAAGAATATGAGCTTTTGGCATGCAGAAGAAGGAAATCTTGTTTTCTGTTGGCCTCACTCTTCTTGGATTTAGATTCTAAGTAGTGTGGGTCTATAGGCATGGGCCTTGATTTGCTGATGCTATGATACTCACCATGTGAAGGCATGTCAGTGGGCCTCTAAGAACCTATTGTCCGGGACCAGCAGTTGATAAAATGACTCTGTCGCTGGACTCCCTTGTAGTACTGTGGTTCAAGTTCCGGTCCCAGTGGCTTAAACTCACACCGTGCATGTGTGCGTGTGTGACCAAGATCCTGAGAGGAGAATGGAGGAGAAGGGATTGTGGTGTGGCCATCCCTCTTGGGGGGTGATTTCTCACTTTCTGTCTCTCTGTCGCTCTCTGTCTTTCTGGTGAGCACACGTACCCTATAGCAAAAACCTCTCCAAAGGAAAAAAATAAAAGAATGAATGTACTGACCTTTGTGGGAGGCCATATTTTATAAACTAGATCTTGAAAGACAAGAGAGTATTAAACTATGCATTTTTATTCACACATTTAGTGTCACAGAAATTGTGTATTAAAAGTCTGTGCATAGCTTATCTGAGTCTTGTGTTTATTTGCACAAAACTGCAAGCTAGGTGTTGGCTGGGTTGTCTTCTCATCAGGAGGCTGGACTAGGAAGGAGTCTGCTTCTGAGCTGATTTGAGTTGGCAGCAGAATTAGTTTCCTGCAGCTGTCTGAGTGAGGTCCTTGATCTCTTGCCGGCTTTCAGCCAGAGTTGCTTGCCACTCTTAGTGCAGCTTAGATTCCTTGCCACATGGCTCTCTCACATGGTAACAGCTTCCTTCTTTGAAGCCACCAAGGGAATTTGGTCATTCAGGTCTGCTCTGATGGAGTCTAATATAATATATGATCACATTATTGACATCCATCACATTTGCCTTAGTCTTTTTGTTTGAAGCAAGTCAAACCTGTCTGTACTCAAGGGGAAGGGATACTATAGAGCATAACCACAGAGGACAGAGACCATGGTCAGGAATTAGGCTATTCCAACAGTTATTTTAGGATTTGGAATAGCACAAGCACTTAATGACTGGTTGCTTGGAGAGAGTGAAGGAGGGGCGGAGGTTACTGTAACCCCCAGTTTAGTTACTAGGTAATGTTATAAATGCTCACTTAATAAGGCAAGGTGAAAACACAGGGATACATTTATGTAGAAAAATATAAGTTTAATTTCTGTTGATGAATTTTAGTATTTTATGGGGCATCTGAGTAAATAATTCCAGTAGGCAGTTGTATGTGAGTCTAACACTCTGAGGATGGAGTCAAGGCACAAGTGCAGATGTGGCATCCAAACCATATAAGTCACTTATAGAATATGGAATGGACTGGGAGAAGGCAAGTGTGAGATTATAGTGAATTCCTAAATTTGCTCTACTTATTAAGAGTTGAGCTGTTTGCTGAAGGTAAGAGGGTTGGAGATCAGGGGAGATTAAAGGGGAGAATAAAGATGCAAGTTACAAAAACTTACCAAAGGAAAGAAAGAAAGAGTTGGAAAAAGGAAAAACAAAAAACCAAAAAAACAAAAAAACAAGACCAAGACATGTATAGTGATTGAATGTATAAAAATATTGAAAAATAGATTAAAAAATGATTAACATGAAATAGAATAAAATAAATGAATAAAACTAATTAAAACAATTTAATAAAAAAAAACAATTTAAAAAACTGTCAAGCAGTTTTAGGGCCTAACTAAAGTTGAAACATGACTTAATTATTATTAATGATTAATTATCAGACACAGAAAAAAGTTTGTGATTTTTCTCCAGCAGTACCCAGTGCAGAGAAATAGTTTAAGGGACAGATTGAGAATTGTGGTAGTGCTACTGTGGCAAGGGTGGAGGGTGGAAGGACAGTTTTGCATAGGAGTTGAGAATGGACATTTGTGACAGTCTGTGCAGGCAATCAGGCACGTGTTCTGTAGGGGTGGTAGAGAGCAAGTGCCAGAGGAGGTGTAGACATGAAAGGCTCATCAGAGAGCTAGAACACGCAGGTCAACGCAGTGGAACACTGAGCACGGAGAAGGGTATGAGTTGTGCTGAGAGCCTGTGACATGTGAAATCAGATCTTGGAGGTAGAATGATTTCACGTGATGAGGAGATCCTGTGGGTGGCCTTAGTTTGAGTGTCTGAAGCTTCAGGGAAGAGAAGTCAAGAAGGGCCAGGAAGTGTGAGACTTAACGCTGTTTGTCTAAGGATAAAGAGATTATCAGAATTTTGTCCAAATGGCTGAAAGGACAAGAGAGAGTGTGGCAATGTCTTAAGGAGGGCTGTGGGAGTAGCCAGAGGCAGAAGGATGGAGTAATGAAGAGGGACGAGCAGATGGCATAATGGTTACGTCGCTGGACTCCCATGTAGTCAACTATGGTCCAAGTCCCAGCCCTGGTGGCTTAATACTCACACCGGTGTGGGTGCATGTGTGCCCAAGATCCCAAGAGGGGAATGGAAGAGAAGGGATTGCGGTGTGGCCATCCCCAGAGGAGGGGTGAGTGATTTCTTGCTTTCTGTCTCTCTGTCTCTCTGGCAAGCACATGCATCCTATAG